GCAGTCCATCGACGCTCGACGCTACAACTTACGCCGCTGCCATACGAAATACAAACCCGGTGACCGCGTGTAGATTTGGACCCCCATTTGCCGCCGAGGACTCAGCGTAAAGTTGTTGCGCCGTTATTTTGGACCTTACAAGGTCATACGTCGTGTTAGTGAACTGGACTATGAAGTTGTCCCCGATGGCGCGACGACACCGCAACGGCGCCGCGCTAACCCAGAACTTGTGCATGTCGTGCGCCTTAAACCTTATTACACGCGGTAATAGACCTTACAGTTTGCAATGTCAACTACGAACTTTGATCTTCCTTTTTGTTCTAGTGCGTTCTTATGGCACTGTTCTCGGTTTTCAATGTTTGCTCTTTTAAGCATCGGGCCGATGCTTATTTAAAAGGGGAGTAATGCCGCAAACACTTGCCATCCTTATCGCTTTGCTTGTGGCGCACGTGGCTAGTGTGTATCTGCGCTGCATCATGAAGGCGTGATCCGTGAACTTATCTTCGTGCTGCGTTTTATCGGAAAACGTTCCTCGCGAATAAGCCGAGGGCAGCCGTGGATACCGGGGTTCACCAGCTGTACGGCGGTTCACTTGTTTCTTTCGGGCGCAGGTCAGCCCAGTGAAATAAAAGATTGTTGCGGCTTGCTCCCGATCCTGTCGTGCACGTTCCTTCATCGTCGCGGCTACGTGACAATATAGTGCTAATGGCCAACAACAAGGAAGATTTGCAGAGATTGATGGACATCTGCGGTAAGGAGGGAGATAGGTTAGATTTTAGGTTAGGAAAAATCAGCAGTCAGGATTTTCAATGACAACGAATGTAGTGAGCTTAGAATACAGGAAGTCACGCAAGAGATAACAGATAAATACAAATATCTGGTCGTATGGATAAGCAATGGGACCGAGTACCTGAGGGAACACGAAATATACGTGACGACTAAAGGTAACAGAAATGCAGCAGTGATGAAAAATAGGGCACTGTGGAATTACATTAGGTATGATGTTGTGAGAGGAATATGAAAAGGTGTCATGGTTCCCGGGCTGACGTTCGGCAATGCGGTCTTGTGCATGAGATCAGAAGTTCAAGCAAGATTAGAAATTAAGCAACGTGGAATAGGTAGGCTTGCTTTAGGAGCTCACGGGAATACACCAAATCAGGGAGTACAAGGTGATATGGGATGGACATCATTTGAGGGCAGGGAAGCTAGCAGCAAGAAAAAATTTGCGAAGTGATTGAGAGAAATGGGGGAAGAGCATTGGGCTAGGAAGGTTTTCAGCTACTTGTGCATGAAGAATGTCGATACAAAATGGAGGAAGCGAACCAGGAAATTGACTGGTAAATACTTAGAAAACAGCAGGTGGCCTAAAGCAAAAAGAACTATCGGTTAAGAAGAAAGTGAAGGAAACGCGGACTGACATGTGGAGAATTGGCATGATTAAGAAGTCCGCGCTAGAGATCTATCGAACTTTTAAGCAGGAAATTGCCAATGAAAGGATCTATGATAATACTCGGGGTAATTCTCTACTGTTTGAGGCCAGGACGAGAGTATTGCGAACCAAGACATATCGGGCTAAATATGAAGGAGTAGACACAGTATGCAGTGCGTGTGGAGAGGAAGAAGAAACTGCCGAACACTTGATAATGTTCTGTAAAGGGCTTCACCCTATAGTTCAAGATGATGGCGTACAGTTTTTCAAAGCACTGGGGTTTAGGGACCGGGAGGGCAAAATAGACTTTAAGTGGGCAGACTTAACTAGAAGGAGGTTATCTGATTGGTGGCTAAAGTCAAGGCACTAGTGAAAATTAAACTCTTCACTGCAAAGTACGAATTCTCAAACTCACTTTTTAAGAGAAAAAAAATCTAGTTTTTGGTTCATTAAGTATTACGGCTTGGTGGCGCTAGCCAACGCCTGATCTAAAGGGTACAGCCATATCCATCCCTTCCTTCGTCCTGGCATGGGCTCGTGAATCTAGGCGATCTTCCTGCAAGGACGTCTGCAAAGGTCGATTGTTGGCTAGGCGAAGTTGAGCGCCGTGGCGACGGTGAGTGGGATTGGTGACGCGAAAGGTTTGGGGACTGCTGGCTCTCTAAGTATTCGGTGATGGCACGGGACCGCTCACCATCTCTGGGTCGACGAGCATCTGGACGAAAGCAAGGAAGACCCATGTGCCTGTATACAGACTCATGGTAGACATGACCTAGTACACCACAGTGATAACTGTGCGGCCAGTTGGCGGGAGCACGCCACACTCAGAATATTCGTGTAAGTGTTGGGTTACCGTACTGCGGTGGTCCTGAATCGAATGACGGCATCGTCTGCAGGGTGGACGGAAGGGACAGATAGCCAACAGCCGGTGCAGGAGTACGTAATGCTTCCGCGTACGTTATTAGTGGAGCTTCAGCTGGACCTGGGGCCATCATGGGTTGGGCCTTGGCTGAACGTAGAGTCATCATGGGTTGCACCAGCTGCCGAACCCCTTCGCGGAAGACATCTGTTAGAGCAGCAATATGGGGCTGAGAAGACACCACGTGCAGCTCTTTCAGCTCCTCGCACAAAGTACTGCACACGAGCTCCATCAGGTTTCTTATAGTCGTGACGTCAGGTGTTCGCAGGGCCGATGACTCTGACGAAAGACTGCCAGGGCGCTCATACTGATACGAACGCTGCCTTAGCATTCTCTCCATCTTCGTTGCTTCACGGAGGCAATCCGCTACAGTGCTGGGGGGGTTGTGCACTAGTCCAGTGAACAACTGCTGTTTCACTCCCCGCATCAGGAGGCACACCTTCTTCTGTCATTGAGGAGTTAGCTCGCTTGGACAGCCGCGACATTTCCTCAACGATGATGGCAACACTCTCGTTCGGACGCTGATATCGGGAATTGAGGAGCCGTTCCACTTCTTTCGGTCAGAACTTCGGAAGGTATTCCGCAACTGCCAGCAAATCTCTGGCCAGGTTGTCATAGCGGCTTCATGATTTTCCAACCAAGTGCGCGCAGAGTCCTCGAGGTAAAAGTAGACGTACCGAAGCTTTCGCTGCTCGATCGACTCGTTGACGCTGGCGCAACGGTTGTAGTCAACAAGCCATTCGTTGACGTCCTCTTAAGGGTCACCGTGGAACGGCTTCGGGGTTCGCGGGGCGTTGAAGAACCATCGAGGAGGCAGCATCGATGTCTCTTCGGTTTGTGTTTTCGCACTTGCCATAGTTCTGCCGAGTTGTGGAAGTGGTCGAAATTCAGGTGGTAAGTCTAGTTGTCGCCTGCTACACCGTAGGTCAGCTGGTTCTTCCAAGTCGCGACTAGTGTCAGGATCTTGCTGCTGATTGCAGTTCATACAACACTATCCAGCACCTACATCAGAAAATTTCACGTGATTATGGAAAGACCACAACGTCTGCTCGCAGGAGCCGCAGCACTGGACGTCGAACCGAACCGAACGTTACACAACGAGCACAACAACCAGTCCTCTTCATTTTCACAAAATGGCACATACTCGCATTGGCATGGCTCAATCTCGTTCCATGCCCGTGGCAATATAATAGCATAAGAGAATCTTAATAAAGGCAAAACGCAGCCTGCACCATATACAATAAAATAACATTTTATGTGCTTTACACACATTTGAATGTTCGAATGAACAATGTGTGGGGAGCTCCCATATATTTCCACGGAGCTTCATCCACTAATCATCATTCACCTTTAATGATTTTGACCGCTGTCCGGATTTGTTGTAAAACATAACAGCGCTAAGGATGAATTGTAGCTATGAAGACAAGTCCACTTGTAGAAACATCAGCACACAGCCACTCTGTACCAATATTTAGGGGTGATTAGGGCAGAGCTTGCAGCGTGCACCCGGCGTAGCCATCTAATTACAGATGCGCCTTTTAGTGGCACTGCTAGGGTCAGCTTTGAATGGCGACCGTTAGAAGCGCTTCCGGTGCACACTTCATTTCTTTCGCACTGCGACCGTGTCACTCGCCATGAACGAAGACGAAGCTTGACAGCATGCATTGAGGGAACGCAAAGCGGATGCGGCGCGAAAACTTCGTCAAACGACCCCGCAGGTGAGAGCTCGTGAAGGGGCGGCGAAACGACAAGGAAAGAAAGCCGAACCAGATGCGGTGGGAGCGCGGCAATTGGCGGTGAAACGATAAGGAAGGCAAGCGGGCCTGGTGTTTAGAGCACGGGAAGCTGAGGCTAAACGCAACAAGCCTACGCTCCCCTACACGAATGACCCTGACGCGCGCTTAAGGCGCGAATTCCTCGACCGCAGCTTCGGACAAAGCTTCGAAGTGTGCGATCGTTTGTGGTTTGATAAGAACTTTACCAAGAACACAAACATTCTCACTCATTATATAACGTCGAAGGGGCGATGTATGGGGATTCATATTTACCGCACGATCATCAGTGCTTCGCCAACTCATCATCACTCACTCCGTGGATATGCAGTGAATTTTTTTATTGCAAGCATCCATCTTGATACTCCCGCCGTTCTTGTTAATTTATTTAATAAAAAGTTCAACTAGTTTAACAATTTCACACGTTTTCCTAATTGTGATATTAAGTCACCCCATCTTGTACGTGTTGTAGCTGCGAATACAGCGTCGTAGTGAGAACTCAGCAAATACTTGAAGGCATAAAGATGTAAGGTTGACGAAGAAGCAGCGTATTTCGAAGAAGCCTCCCGAGATGCAACACGAACATGTACTGTTGAGGTATCGAACTCCAGCGATTATCCTAAGCACGTGGATGCCAACCAGAAGTGTTAAACGATAGAGGTACTGTAATATCGTGACATTAAGATCTACTGATCAGAACAGCTGAGGTGTGGTAGCTAACAATCCCCACCAAGAAAGAGTGAGGATGATCGCAAGAACTTCTGTGAATTGTAACTTCAAAAAAAAAGAAAAATAAAAAAACAGACTGTAATGCACTGGGCTCCATCAGAGCGCAACAATTACAATAAGAACGTTGTTCGAGAACTTGGCAGCTACTTACACTCGATTCTCCGTGCACTGTGGGTCCATCATCCAGCTGTAAAGATCCTTCTCGGCGAGTGCGCGTCACACGCACCACGTGCCACTGGTTCAGGGTGACTTCATTTGGAGACCTGCAGCGTGCACACGGTTGTTACATGCTTCTCTATACTCCTCAGTAACTGATTCGCATAGCTCATGCGATAGATTGCAGAACTACTTCAAAAAACGTCACATCAAGGGTAGCTAAATAAAGGAACAAACTTTCTTATGAGGTTTTCGGCGAGGCTGATACCTTATGCGTAATTGAAGTTAACTGAAACACGAAAAGCGGAGCGCGAGCCGCCAGCATTACAGAAGGTGTAGTGCACGCTTGGCGGCATAATATACTCCCGCTGCTAATGCTGCTGTGCAGCTGCTGAAGATGCTGGATGCGCTTCCAGTGGTTCTTCAACAAGCGAATGGACGAATATGGCATCGACGTTTGAAGAGCGCAGGCGCAGTCGCTTTTTATGCAATGGACTGCTTGAGGTATGCGGGGCCGCCTTTTGGACTTCAGATAATGAGCTTCTAAGTACCAACTTTCAGTTATTGTTTTTTGCGAACCAAATATACATTCGAAGTTCCGCATATCTGTATATATGCCAATGTCGTCTCGCAGCAATCAACCTAAAAGCAAATTATTAGTTTTCATACGCCGTGATCTGACGTAGTAAAGACACGACATCGTGCCAAATACAAGCAAGGATTACGCGATCCTGATCAATATGCACAGGTGGTTGATGTTCTCAGTAATCGGAGGGTACATCAATCCAAGTGCGAAAACCGACTGCTGCCACCTGAAGGCAATGGGGCAAATAAAGCCTGTAGATAAACCTCTTTCTATCGAATACTTTGTAGTAATCCCCAATTTAGACTTCTTGAGTAACATCATACAATTAAAAGCATGTTCTAATTAGTTGAAATAGGTAGATCATGCCCCTATTTGAAAACCTCTTGAATGTGAAGCTTAAGGGTTTTCTAAATATCTTAGAAGATACTCTGAAAAGCCCTTCTTCCATCGTTCGCGGTGACTGTGCTGCGCGTGACCGCAAGAACCTTGTGGATCGGCTGTGTACCAAAATAATCTCTGGTGAGAACAGCGTATCGGCCGCAAGCCGAGCATCACCAGCCCCGTTCCTTGACGAAGACGCTAGCTACAAAGTCATCCTACCCGGCATCATCATCATCATACGCCTCACCACACCAATTGCAGGACAAAGGCATCTCCCATGTCCAGCCAGTCAACTCGATCCTGTGCCTGCTGCTGCCCCTTTATACCCGCAAAGAAACTTCCTAATCTCATCTGTCCAGCTAAGTTTCTGTCTCCACCTCACCCGCTTTTTTCTCTGGGAATCCGGTCATTTACCCTTAATGACCAGTAAATTATCCCACCTACGAGCTACAAGCCCGGCCCATGTCCATTTCCTCTTCTTGATTTCAACTATGATATCCTTAACCTCAGTTTTTTCCCTGATCTACTCTGGTCTCCTCTTGTCTCGTAAAGTTACACCTACTATTTTCCTTTTCACGCTCGCTGCGTCGCTCTCAATTTGAGCTCGACCTTTTTTGCGAGCCTCCAAGTTTCTGCTCCTAAGTAAGTACTGGCAAGAAGCAGTTGTTGTATACCTTCTTCTTGAGGGATAGTGGCAATCTACCAGTCATTATTTTAGAATGCTTGCCGAATACGTGCCACCCCAATCTTATTGTTGTAGTTACTTCAATGTATTGGTGCGGCTCCACGGTTACCACGTGTCCGAAGTAGAGGTACGTTTTTACAGCCTCAAGTGCACTGCTACTCATCTTGAAGCGCTGTTCTCTTCTTAGGTTGCTGCACATTACTTTCGTTTTGTGCAGATTATTTTAAGGCCTACCTTTTTACTCTTCTTGTCTAATTCAGTAAACATTAACTGCAAATCGTCGCCTGAGCTACTCAGCAATGCAATGTCAACGGCGACACGCAGGTTACTAAGATACTCTCCAGTAACTCTTAATCCATAACTCTTCCTACTCTACGCTTCTAAAACCTCCTGTAAGCACGCGGTAAATAGCACTGGGGACATCCTATCGCCTTGTCTGACAGCCTTCTTAGTTGCTATTCTGTCGCTTTACTTTTGGAGCACTATGGTGGCAATTGATCCCCTGCAGGTTTTTTCCAGAATGTTCATGTACGCTTTGTCAACGCCGTGTTTTCGCGGTGTGCATGGCTGCCGATATCACTACTGAATGAAATTCCTTCTTGGAATCAATGAAGGTTGTGTGTTGTAGCTGGGAGTATTCTGAGAATTTTCCTATACGACACTAGTAGTATGTGATCGATCACAGCCTGTTCCAGACTGTGCTTTTTCTGTTTTGGTTAATTGAATGCTAAGGTTGTCCTAATTCTGTTCAGTATTTACTCTTGTAAGTAGCTTGTATACGACGGAGAGCAAGCTGATCGGCCTGTAACTCTTCAAGTCCTTGTCGTCATCTCTCCTATGCATTAAGATTATGTTAGCCTTCTTGCGAGATTCTGGCACCTTGCCATCAGGAGACACTTCTTAAACAGGGTGACTAGTTTTTCTTACATCTCGCCCGCTTTTGAGCACATCTGATGTTACCTGATCCTTATCAAAAAGTTTGCCTCTTGCACTCCCTGCAAGGCTTTCCTGACTTCTGTTGTTACTTGTGGGATGCCATCTGTGTTACTGCTAGTTCTTGCATTATAGTTGTGGTTGTCCCAGCTACTGTACAGATTCTGTAAATATACTCCGCTACTTCAACTATCCTATCCATATCGGTACTTTCTTTTCCTTCCTTGTCCTTTGGTGCATACATCTTGTCTATGCGTATGCCACGCTTCCCCTTCACCACTTTGACGCTTCCTCCGTTCTTTAGAGCATGTTCTTTTCTCTGAATGTCATACCTTTTCATATCGGGTACGTTACGCTTAATAATCAGCTTCGAAAGCTCTGCCAGTTCTGTTTTGCCTTTTGCGATTGAAGCTTTTGTGCTATGACGCTTTTTAATAAGGTTCTTTGTCTCCTAAGACATCTTGCTGATGTCCTGTCTAACTACTGTACCTCGAACGTCCACTGCACATTCCGTAATTTTCCAAGTCAAATTATCATTCATTGCCCCAATGCGAATGCTGGTATTCTCGATAACAGCCAAGTCTTTGTTCTGGAAACAGACCTTCAATTTGTGTACTTTTCCTCTCGATGCTAGCTCATCAATTGTCTTCGAGCGTATCAGCTTCTGTCGTTCCTTCTTCCGAATCTAGGCGAATTCGATACCTTATCATTCTATGGTCACTTCCTCGTACCTTGCTAAGCACTTCCAGGTCCTGCACGATGCTTGAATGTGAACTCAATACAAAGTGTATTTCGTTCTTACTATCCTATTTACGGCTCTTCCATATCTACTTACGGTTCACTCGTTTTCGGTAGAAGGTATTCACAATCCTTAAATGATCACGTTCCGCAAATTCACTTGATGACTCTCCTCTGGCATTTCTACTGCTGACGACATAATTCCCTACTGCCTGGTCTCCAGCCTCTTTCTCGCCTACCTTGGCATCAATGTCGCCCGTCAGTATAATATACTGTATTTTAGTGGCGAAGCTTCTTAAGTTGTGGGTCGTGCGTCCGTGATATATGTGGTAGTATTAGTAGTCGCCGTCGTAGTAGTAGATAGCCACCTCTCGTTTAGTCCTTGGAAGATCCGCTGGATGGCGGTACTTCTATATGTTGAATATATGATGAAAAAAATGTGAGATGGTTGTACTTGGAGTGGTCACTAGATGGACGGATGCACGCAAGGACGGATGCACGGATGAACGTAGGGACGGACGTACGGACATACGCATGGGCAGACGCATGGACAGACGCACAGTGGGATAGATGGACGCACGGACAAACGCATGGACGGTCGCACGGACGGAAGCAAGAAAGAACGAACAAACGGAAGCGCGGATGGACTGATGGACGCTTCGCCCCACTCACCATCATTCACTCCAAAAATATGCTGTGATTTTTTCATCTTACTTATTGTCGATTCCTTGACATCATAGAAGCTTTCAACTAATACGTCATGCTGACTGAATGTAGGTGCGTAGGCCTGTACCAACTTCATATTTTATATTTTATTTAGTTTGATTATATTATAGGCTCCCCTTTCATTTATGCTAAAGTCTTCCTCTGTACTACCAGCTATATTTCTGTGGATAAGTTCTCGTCTGTCAGCCAAGCCTTGATAGCAACGGCCGAGTTCATTTGGTAGCATAGTATAGGCCTCATTTGTTCTTATAAGCTCAATGAGCCCTATGGCATGCCATCATACACCAACTAGTTCCTTCTTCGAATAGCACAGCTTGACTTGGCTCACTAGATGAGATTCCAGCGTTAAACATTGACAACTTTAGGTTCCCATGGCGGCCTGCACGGGTGTAGAGAATCTCAGCATCTCTACTGCGTTATACATCTCACCACCGCCAGGGTGAGTTGCTTCGCAGCCGCAGAAGACTGAGGACCGAAGGTTGAATGGCATATTCAGGTGGAAGGTAGTAGCCGAATACTGCGCTAGGGTTGCCAATACTTTCCTGCAGCACCACAGATTTACACGCAAACCACGCACGTGAAGACTTACAATGCATGTCTTCGGAAACTGAACAGTTACACGCTGGGCGTGATATCACAGAGGCTTTGCATGACAATAGGCCGTTGACATGAATAGCTTGTCCGCCCCTTCGCTACACAGTTCGAGCCACGGTCAAGATTGTCAGAAAAGCAGCCACAGATAGCAGATATGGGAAGTGAATTGAATCACCAACAGGGCATGGTCTCGCCAGAAAGCATCAAACGCAACGAGACGAATCGTGGATCTTCGTATCGTGGCCGCGCCGCGTAAAACCAAGTGGAAGCACGAACGCACGCGTGAGCTGCGAAAGCGTTTGCTGCGCGCACAATGCCATTTTGGCGCTCGAGGGTACATAAAGCTTAAGGCCGTTTCGCACGAGGCAAGAAACTACAATTTATATGTTGCGAATAACTGGCGAAAAAAATTACCGATCGCCCTAGCCGCAATGACCAGGGGAGAGCAGTGAACATATGTCAAA